AGAGAGGAAGGCCACGTGCCAGATGGATGGACTCAATTAAGGAGGTCACGGGTATTAAGGGGTTGTAGGAATTAAGCAGAGGACAATGGGTCTTGGAGATGTCTCATCCATAGGGTCGCCATGGGTTGAGATCGACTCAAGGGCAGTTAACAAACAACTACTTCTTCACACAGTGCACAGTTAGATTATGGAATTCACTACCACTGTATGTAGTTATGATTGTCAACTTGGGTGACTTTCAAAGTGGACTCACAGAGGATGAGGACATCATGGCTACTAGTCAGGATGTATGCATGCCACTTCCAGCATGCTTTTTGTGTGTCAAATGCTAGAGGGCATAAAATGGAAAGTACAGTTGTGCTCAGATCCTGCTGGTAATCTTTCCATGATTTTTCCATCAGCCACTGTGTGAACAAAATGTTAGCTTCGATAGGCCTTTTGCAGAACTCTTCTAATGCAGGGAGATCAGTTAGGCAGGGGTAGGCAACCTTTCCCCTTTAAGGGCTGAGAGACTTCAGCTCCCAGAAGCCTCAGCCATGTTGGCCAATAGTCCCATGTTGGCCAATAACTCCTGGGATTCTGGGAGCTGAAGTCCCTCGGCCCTTAAAGGGGAAAGGTTGCCTACCCCTGAGTTAGGCACATGCTCTCAGCCTCAGGGGAAGGTAACGGCAAACCCCCTCTGAACAAATCCTGCCAAGAAAGCACCACGATAGGTTCACCTTAGGGTCGTTATAATTCAAAAATGACTTGGAGGCACACCACAACAAACATATTTTATTACTTGGTTCTAGAAGGCATAAGCAAGTGAATCTGGTTCCTTTCAGGTTTTGAAGTCAAAAGCAATAAAATTGATAAAATGTTTGTCCTTGGTGGTGTGAATTTCTTCAGGCCCAACTCTCAGAAGAACTGCTGATTTGGGCAAAGAACAGAAAGGTAATCCCTTCCCCCTTCTCAAATACTGCAAGCCCTTTGCCTTGAAATGCCCTTTGCACCAACATCACTGAGCCACTAGATGGCAAGCAAAGTGTTTGGAAGCACCTCCAGGCTGGCAATTCATGCAGAACAGCTGTGATGTGGGAAAATGCCTTTGACTTTTTTTTTAAATTTTTAAAAAAACTTTATTTTACTGAAAAAAAAAAAGGGGGGGGGAAACGAATTGGTGGTGGAGGGGAGAAGAAAAACCTTGAGCTCACATGTAAATAATATCCCAATCTGGAAGAAGCAGCAATAATAACAAAGAACAGCTTGGCAAAACCAACACTGTGTGAATTTTACATATGTATGCATTCATTTTAAGCATTTCATTGCTGCTTCTCCTACACTTGTTCAAAGTGTCTCCCATCTATCAAAAGGGTAAAAACAGGAAAGATATAAAATAATTAGTGCAAATTAGGATAGACGTATGAAGGAACTGGATTGAAATGCAAAGCAACCATTCAGATTTAAAATCCCAAAGACTAGGAGAAAAGGCAGGTTTTTATAATGAGAGATCCTTCCATGGCCACAGAACTACAACAGAAAAAGTCCTGGCTGGTAGTAATCATTGCAGTGTCAAAGACATTGAGGATATCCAAAGCAAGGCTGATCACACCCTCAGTCATAGAAAACCCCATGATAGGGTCATCTTAGGGTTGCTATAAGTCAGAAATGACTTGAAGGTACCCAACAACAATGCAAGATATGGCTTGATAAATGGGACCAGCAGAGCAATACACTGTAAAACATATGCAGAATATGTGGCACCCAGTGTCTCACACTTAATTCTGCCTGGAAATCTCTGTGGGCCCTTTAATAGGGAAATGATAACTACACCTCCTTGATGCTGCTTAAGTCATCCATCAGCCACATAAGTCGGAGACAGGCTGTAGGTATGCCAACCTACCCAGAATTGGTGTATGCTCCCACCATATTGCCTCATCTCTCTTCTTGATTGTGTTCAGGTAGCTGTTGAGTAAATCTATGCTCTGCACGGTCAAACTTCAGGAAGCTCCTTCTCCTCGGCTGACTGCAAAAGGTGAATTGAAGCCTCAGGTGCCTTTTGGCCTTTTTTAAGGCAAAGGAGAGATGTCTTGCTCTGTTGCTTCTCAAAGGTGAATGAGAACCAACTTCCTGAAGCTGCTGTCACAAGCTCACCTTTGTCCTCTGGTTATCTGTCTGTTTCTCAGTCTTTCTCACAGATACAAGGGCAAACCTGGTTCTCTCGGAGGTGGTCTATCTGGGTCCAAGCTGTACCACTTCAGATGCATCTGAGGAAGTAGACTTTAGTCTATGAAAGCTCATGTTTCCAACTTCTTTCTTTCAGTTTAGGGCCTTTTCAGACTGCCAGAAATAGTGCAAATTGAGTCCACTTTAAGGGTTATGGTTAGGGTTAGGGAATCATGGGAACTGTATTTTATTGTGGCACCAGAGCTCTCTGACAGAGAAGGCTCAATGTCTCAGAAAAAAACCAATTCCCATGATTCCCTAGCACTAACCCTAACCCTTAAAGTGGACTCAATTTGCACTATTTCTGGCAGTCTGCTTAGGCCCTTAGTCTCAAAGGTGCTACAAGATCTCTACATACTGATTCTAACACAGCCGTATCTTTGAATTCTACTACTTCAGACTCTAAGGAGAATTACATAATTTAGTACCCTGCCCATAAAAAACTAGCATGGTAGGAGGAAACCTGGGCTAGATTCCATCCCATACTAGTTTTCTGTATGTAGGGCATATTTTTGTATGCCAGGTATTTATTTTGTATTCATGGGAGCTCCCTGCCTGTTCTTTAACAGCTCAGACACAGACGAGATCTAGACCACAGCCTGTACTCCAGGTTTTTGTTATGTACAGCTTGCCTTTGACTACAATGATAGCTTTTTGACCCATGACCAGATTCTTTTTCTGTACTCTCCCTTTCTGTGCACAGTCCTTACACTTTTGTGCTAACATTTCATTGTGCAGGTGCCATTTTTTCTACCCATTGAAATTGCAATATTTTGCTCTTGGGAGAATATGATTCTGCCTGCCTGTGTTCCAGAGATCCAGCTGGCTATTGGTCTTATGTTGTTGTAGGCATTGTGCGCACGCACACACACACACTTCTTGGTGTCTCTGAGACTCTGGCATTTGTTATGCAGGCTGGGACAAAGACAGAGGGGATGCTCAGAGCTGTCTCCTCATTTGAGCCCGAAAGAAGCTCTCTTTAGCCTCAGAGAGGGCTCTTCTCTGTCCGGCAGTACTGCCAAGCCTAATCTACCACAGTGCAAAGCCAGCACTCCAAAGGGAGAGCATGTGTCAAAAGGAGGCCCTGTTACTAGAACTGTTTTCGGGACCCAGCCACTTTAAATGGTCTTCTCAATTTTGTTGAGGAGTGAGAGTCAGTGTAGTGTAGTGGTTTGAACACTGGACTATGACTCTGGGGACCAGGGTTTGAATCATTGCTCAGCTGTGGAAGCCCACCAGATGACCTTGGGCAAGTCACATTTTCTCAGCCTCAGAGGAAAGGCAAAGGTTAAAAAAACCCTCTGAACAAATCTTGCCAAAAAACCACAATAGGGTTGCCTTAGGGTCACCGTAAGGTGGAAACAACTTGAAGACACACAACAACAATATTAAAGCCCGGTGCCCTCCAGAATTTTTGGATTGTAGCCCTCATAAAACTCAGTCAATACAGCCAGGGATTAAAGAGAGACGGAGTCATGTAGGGTACCAGGTTGTGCCAAATTAAGTCCTATGCTCCAGCATAGGCTTTGTACTGGAACCAGCTCATGCACACTGGAACCCTCCCCTCCCCAATTTAGCACAGGCTGATGTTTTCTCTGCATGCTGTCACTCACTTGGGCAAGGCCCTTTGGGTGATTTTTTAATGCAGACACCTCTGTCTTTGTCTGAAGAATCTTAGGCAATGGGACTTTTCCATACATGAAACTCAAATCACTCTGGGATATAAACATAAATATATGAATATTTTATCTACATTTGCCTCCTTACCCTGCAGTAACAACAAGCACGCATGGCACCAAAACTGTGAGAAAGGCTCAGGCATGATTTTTTTTAAGTACCAACATGTGGAAACACCCAGAGATTCCTCCTTCACACTTACACAGGTGTGCCTCCATAAATATATATGTACATGCATATTTTCCCACTCACACACTATGCTACTTTCTACAACTTCAGAGAGGAAGAAATCTATCATGGGATCAATCTGGCTGAAAATACAGGAGATAAACTTTACTTAAACTCTTGCAGTGAATCAGAATTCACAAACAATTTAGGTGGACTTATTTCCTTTCACAGCACATCAGAGCAAAAAGTATATCACCATCACCGTCACCATCACTCCCCTTCTTTTTTTCTCCTCCTTCTCCATTTATATCATGCCTTTCACCCAATATTGGGATGCAGGGCAGTGTATACAATATTAAAGCTAAACACATTAAAATATACAATAATACCAACTCTTTACAACCCCATTCCTTTTTTACCCTCACCCTGAAGGCCTTCAAGACAGCAGTCAATTCAAGTCAATGATCTGAACCTAGGATACACATTTCTTCAACCTACTACATTCTAGAGTACAAATCCCATCCACTGGTTGTGAGAGAGGGTGAGAGTTTTGGGTTGGGTCACCAGCCACTATACAACACCAATCAATTGGTGTGAGCAAGCCCAAGGAGACATCCCAGGTCACAATAATCAGTGCAATGTGAATGAGCCTGGGTATGTATAAATAGGTGTGCACATGTGTGCATGTGCACCTGCCTTCAAGTTGCCTTCATGGATCTCATACAGTGTTCTTGGGCAAAGAATACTCTGAGGTAGCTTCCCATCGCCTCCCTCTGAAATTTGGCTTATAGCACCTGGTGGAATGGAATGGGGCAAATGTGGGGAGGAAGAGAAAGACAGGCATGGTTGTGAATCTCACATGAACAATGGCATGGATAGTCCTGCCATTTGGCGGAGTGAGCCAGCCTCCTCAGACAGCAGATTTTGGGTACAGAAGGGCAGCAAAAGCTTTGTGATCCATTTTGTTACTGTTGGGTTTTTAAGGCTGGAGATGAGGAGAGGTGTTTGTGAGCTAGAGCTCACTTCTTCCTGTGCCAAAATAACTTGGCTGGCTTTGGGTATGAGGCATCTTAAACTGGGCGGCAGGAGGTGGGGGTGCTATTGTTTGTTCTGCCTCAAGCAGCCAAATATCTTGGGTTAGCTCCAATCAAAAGGCAGCCAAGCTATGTTGCTTCATGAGCCGTCTCAAGACCTTTGAGCTGCAGGTGGGTCATGGAGTCCCAATAGTCAAAGCTCCCTCATGGTTGCACAGTGCAGTCGCAGAAGGAGATGGGCTGATGAGAAGGATAAGGGAGAGGATGAGAAGGATAAGGGACGGGATATAGCACTAGCTGTCTCTGTGGCTCAGGTCTTCCATAACTCCCCCCTCCC